GGAGCCCCCCGGGCGTCCCCCTCCACTGGCTCCCCAGCCCCACTGACTCCCCTCTGCCTCTCCCCAGTCCAGGGACCGCAAAGTCCTCGGCGACTACAGCGGGGCGCTCAGCTACGGCTCCACCGCCAAGTACCTGAACATCACCGCCCTGCTGCTCAACATCTTCCTCGTCATCCTCATCATCGCCCTGATCGCTAGCGGCACCATCGCCGCGGTGAACCTCTTCCACAGCCAGCAGGAGCCTCACTCCTTCCTCGGCCCCACTTAGCCCTTCCCGGGCTCCACAGGCAGAGCATCCCCCCCCACGTCTGCTAGGAGCCCCCGCCACCCCTCGGAGCGGGGGGATGTCCTCCATGCGCCCCCCCGGAGCCCGCTGGGGTCCTGTCCCGCTTTCCTCACTGCTCAAAGCCCCTATGGAGCCCTCTCTGATGGCCGCCCTCGTTGGCCTGCCTGGAGGTGCCTGAAACACCTCTCCTCTGGCAGGAGCTGAGCACCCAAAAACTGGCTGTAGCAAAGGGAGAGAGCGTGCTTTTCTGCTTGCCGCTTCGCTCTGATTTTGTAGCCTCAAGTGCCTCTAAGAATAATCCTAAGGAGAAGCACCTGGTTCGGAGAAAACCTGGTTCAAATAAAGGTTTCTTTCACTTTTGCCCCCGGCTCAGTTTCGTTTTGGCAGGGGGTGGTTCGGGTCCCCCCCCAGCTTGGCTGCCTGAGAAACGGTGCCCGCCCTCGGGACGCACCTGGAGAGGGAAATTGTCCTGGGGCACGGAGCATCACAGAGGTGATACTCAAGGATGCGCCAGGCTCGGTGAGCCCGGGTACTCGTGGGGAAGAGGCACCCGTACGGGATGCAAAGCGGTTGTAAGGCTCACCCCGAGGATGCGGGCAGCACCTCATCTTCGCCGGAGTGTCACCAGGAGCACCCCGATCCTCGCCGACCCTCGGGAGGGGGGTAGGAGCTTGATTTGGGGGGGAGGCTGTGCAAAGGGCTTGAGCACGATGAGCTCGAGCATGACTCCCTGCAGCCATGCGCGGGGCAGCGGAAGCCGGGAGAGGCTTCCAGAGGGAACGGGAAGCTGGGGGCGGCGTGGCTCCATCCCAACTCGCCTTGCTGCAGGAGAGAGCTGTACAACTCAGCCCGGAGGGCTGGGGCGGCGCTGGGACCACCGGGCGATGGGGATGCCAGCCAGGCAGGGCTGCTTTTGGGGCAAAGCAAGACGGCGACCCCTCTCTCCTCCCCTCCCGAGCTTTTCCAGCATCAAGCCTTAGGCCAGCCACCCCCGCCACCTGGATGTAAGGCGGGCTGGGAAGCGGGCAGCAACCCTCGCGCCTCCAGGGCTGCCGGCACATGGCACTCGGCTGCCCGGCTTTGGCAGTGTCCGAAGTGACCCGGGCAAGACCCCGCGAAAAATCCTGGCTGAGGTCCCTCTGGCAGAGCTTCAAGTATGTGGTTGGCCTGGCTTCCCCTTTCCCCAGCCCGCTGGAAGCCTTTGCGCTCCTCACCCTCAGCAGGCTCAGGTCCTCAGGACTGGGGCCCCGAGAGGATGGGAAAAAAAGCCTTTTTTTTTTTATTCCTCTTCCCAGGAACATAAGGCTCCTGCCAAGAAGCTGCGCTTATGACTAAGATGTCAGAAATCCCGCCCGCAAAACACAACGGTTATTTGTTGCAGGATCCCTGGCACCAGCCTCCCAGTGAATCACATATTCCTCTGCTTCTTCCCGTAAGAGCAAACAAGCACGTGCTCCCGGTTGCAAGCAGAGCTGCCCACCTGGCTCCGCGGCCACCCACCACACCCGGCCAGGGCGCCCCCCCGGGCCCGGCGGCCCCCGACAGGCCCGCCAGCGGCACGACTCTGTCCCAGCCGAAACCCGCACAGGGGGGCTTTGAAAACGGGGAGAGCAAAGTCCTTTTTCTGGGGTAAATGGACTGGGTCCGGCGGCTGCCGCCGCGCCGTGGGGAGGAGCAGGGCAGCGGTGCTCGGAGGAGGAGAACAGCCTGTTCGTGCTCTCACGGAAATTGCTTCAGGCTTTTGGCAAGCAGCCACCGAGCCCTTGAACCTTCCGGCCACGCTGCCAGAATTGAGCGCCGAGCGAGCGGCAGGACCCGCGCCAGCCCTCGGCGAGCCATCTAACCCAGCGAGCCGCTCTCAACGCAGCCAAACAAGCCTCCCGCAAACCTCAGGGTCCCGCATTCGCCTCGCAGACCCTTCCCTCCAGGCGTGCAAAAGCCACCGGCTGCCCTGGTGTTTCGCTTTCCTGCACCCTCCCTCCGGCACATGCCCCAAAAGCCGTCACCCACCGCGTCCCCCTAACTCTGCCCGGCCTCGCTCATGAGCATCCCCGGGGACCGAACCAGCTCCCCAGGGGCCGGGGGCGTGCAGGGGAGCGGGGCCGGGCAGAGGCACCCGGCCGGCAGCAGCAACATGGGCCGAACTTTCGTCTCTCTGCTTTCTAGTATCTCGTTTGTTCAGGTGCACGGGCAAATAAATTAAGAAGCTGGAAACACAGGCAGGGAGGTGGGAATTTCTGTGGGTGGTTGGTGCTGAGCTCAGGCGGGTGAGACACCAGCTGTAATTCCGCTTGTGCCGGGGGCGGTGGGAAACGGGATCCCTAAACGGACACTCGGAAACGATGGACAAGGAACAACCTGGCTGCACTCGGTCCTTGCGGCTGCCGGTTGCCCCAGGCCGGCATCCCAACACCGCGGGTCCCCTCGCCTCCGCACGAGCTGGAGAAGCAGGCGGTGCCCCATGGAGGGACCCCAGCACCCCAAAACGGGGAAACCCCCGCCGGGCTCCCGCAAGCAGCTTTTTCTGCGGTGCCACGCAACGGGCATTGGGGCTGGACTGCGAACACTCCCCTGAAATCCCCGGCGAGCCCTCCTCCATCCACCCCTTGCCCATCCCTGCCAGCCTCCCCGCTTCCCGCAGCAGTTCCTTAATTGTCACCACGACCTAACAACCTCGGTAACCTCAAGGCATGGCCAACAGAGAAATAGCCGAGGAAAAGAAAACAAAACTGGTCTTTGGCTTCCTGTGGGTGCCGGGCAAGTGGCGCCGGGGCCAGGACTTTCAGATCTACACCCAAATTAGCGGGGTGGCCAGAAAACCCGCGCCGCAGCGAGCGCAGGTGATGAACGCTTCTGCCCTCCTCCTGGCACAAACCCTCCCCTCTTCCTGAGCGGGGAAAAACCCATTTCTCAAAAAAAGTATCAGGGCTGTGTTTCACTAGTCAGCCTCTCACTCGGCCTCCGGGAGCTGGCCACCGAGCAGGACGGATGCTGATGTTTCCAAAACCCACATAGTTTGTAGCTCCGTGCCTTGCTGGTTTTTTTGGTTCAGATGGTTTTTACCTCCCTGCTGCTTTCTTGAAGCTTTCTTCTTTTTCTGCCCCTCAACCTTCTTTTGGCAGCCACAAGACCTCTTCACGGCTGCAAGCCCTCATCATGGCTGGCGAAACCAAAGGGAGGAGAAACCCCTGGGAACCCAACATGCAAACCCAGCGGTTGGGTGGCCCCTGCTGCTGGCTTTAGCCTCCGCGGATGGGGATCGAGCCCTCGGCACTGGTTTGCAGCTGGGGAGGGGGTTTCGGGGGGGCTGGTGGCTGCCCCTCCACCGGTGGCATGTCCCCGCTGTCCTCCCGTGCCACATGTCCCCACTGTGACTGAGTAACCTGACTTGCCCAGGGCAGAAATCGCTTATCAGTGCAAGAGGGCAAAAAGCAAAGAGGAATAGGCAAGGCATCGGCCCCGTGGCATCGCCCGACCCGCGGGGACCCCTGCCCACCTGCCCCCCAGACCATGCCAGGGGCTATGGCTCTCCCCTCCGCCTGGCCCTAAGCCCCCAGCCCGCCCGGGGAGCCCACCCCACCCCGCGGCCCATCCCCGAGAGCGCCGCTGTGCCCGCCCCGGTGCCCTGCATGATGTCAGGCGGGGTGGCCCCACCCTGGCAAACCATTCCCCTCGCCTGTGACTAGCCCAGGCACCTGTGCCTCTGCTCCTTGCCAGCGTCGGGCTGCCATGGAGAACTTCCCCCACGTCGTCAGCATCAACATGCAGCCCTACGGCCAGAACGGGGCAGGATCCCCGGCCACCGCCTTTGGCCCCACCATCACCTCTTTTGTTCAGCCGGAGCCCGTCCCCGCTCCCCGGGACTTTGTGCTCTGGTCCTTCTTCAACGCCATGTTCTGCAACCCCCTCTGCCTGGGCTTCGTCGCACTCGTCTTCTCCATCAAGGTGAGGGGAAAGTCACTCCCATCCCACCACCCCCTGCCTGGCTCAGGGCTCCTGCCTGCTGCCTGCCCCCATGCCAGGGCTCCCTAATCCCGTCTCTTCCTGTCCCATCTTGTCCCACCCCATCTCACCCTGTCCCATCTTGTCCCACCCTGCCCCAAACCGCCCCATCCCCACCTCGCTCCCCATCCTCCCCCCCGCGCCCTCCTGCCGCATCCAGCCCCACCACGCTGCTCCGCACCCAACGTCCCCGGCAAAGCTACCGTTCGAGGGCGGCCCGTCCTCCTTCGGTGCTTTGGGAAAGGAGGACCCGGGCAGCATGGCGGGTCCGGCTCTGCTCCCGCAGACTCGAGCGAGGCCCAAACCGTCTCCCGCCGGGGGGATAAGGCAGGCAGCCGGCTCCTGGCTCCCTTCCGCGGCGCTCCCGAAACCACCATGAGGCTTCGCCCCTACCCGAGATAAGAAATGGCTGCTCCCTGCGCACTTCTCCTTTATTACCTTGAAAGCGAATCATTTTAAATGGGCGACCTGATAACCGTAGAGCGGTGCGTGTCAGTATCTGCCGGCACCGTGAGAAGCGCCGTGTGGGCGCTGTCGTGTGGGCACTCCCGACCGGAGCCCCCTCTTCTGCCCAGCTCTCCCCCTCCTGCCCCTGCCCCCCAAGAGGACTGCGCAGCGCGTTGCCAAGCGTAATGGCTTTTAATAAGCCATTAAGAAAGCACTTCCAGGCTGCCGCGAGCTCCCTTTCCCCCACGTCGGGGTGGGTTTCTTGGGGTTGCGGCAGAGCCCAGTGGATCCCGGTGCCAGGCTTCGGCCAGGCCAGCTGCTCAGTGGCGCGGGAGACCGGGATGTCCCCTCAGCCCATCGCTGCCGCCACCGCCTCTGGCTCGTGCTGTTTCACTGCCCATCTCCCTCTCCCAATCCACAGTCCAGAGATAGGAAAATCGCCCGGGATCCGGGAGCTGCCGACAGCTACGGGAGGACAGCCAAGCATCTGAACATCGCGGCATGCTGCCTGGGCATCGTGGGTACCATCATCTGTATCGTGCTGCTGGTTCTGTACTACAACAGCTTGCAGGCAGGCAGCCGCCGCTAACCCCATCCCACCGAGGAGCAGCAGCACCAGGGCCTCCTTTTTTCCTTCCCCTCCGCCCCGCTCATCCGAAACCCACCTGCCTCGCTCGTGGGGGAGCCGTGCGGCCCCTGTGGCACCTTCCTCCCCACTCCCACTGGGCAAGGTGTCCTCAGGCACCCTCCTGGTGCACCCTGACTGAGACAACGCTCTTCAGCACGAGCCCATGGGGTGAGCTCACAGCAAATAAAGCTCCTTCCCCACCCTTCTCCTTGGAAATGTCACGCTTTCGGGTTTTGGGAGGCGTTATTCCTCCCAGGCATCCCCACCTCGGGGGGCCGGGGCTACCCCGTAACCGAGCGGAGCGGGGAGGCAGGGCTGAGGGAGGAAGAGCAGCAGGAAAGGGGCTTGGAAAGGAGTGCCGTGTTGGTGCTGTTCGTTAAATATAAACACACGCGCCCTCCCTGGGCTTCTGGGGCATTTCGAGATGCCGCACATGCCTCCGGGACCAATTTCTGTGCTTCCTCCTGCCCGCGTTATCTACCGCCCCAGGCGGAGATGGCCGCGGCGGGGAGGGGGACCGCCGGGCTCCGCAGCCGCTGCCGGGGCACCAGGGCTCCGCGGGGGAGCTGGGGGGTCCCACCGCTCCCTGCGCCCGCCCGCCCCTCATCTCGGCACCCTGAACCCATCCGCCAAGCCCGCGCCCGTCCCTGCCCCGTCTCGGTGCCATCTCCCCACCCCTCGCTGCCAAAGGAGTGGCTCTCCGACGGGGAGATTTGGCTTGTGAGCCCCCGAGGTCCCCAATGTCCCCTCTGAGCCCCGAAGCTGCCCCACACTCGCCGGGGGGTACAGGGACGCGG